ATATGTACGTATACTAAACTAATTGAATGCAGTGGTTCGAATTTGCATAGTACAATATTCTCAGTTTATGGAATATAATAATATATAGAATGAAGAATAATTAACAGAGGATTAGAAGGTCTGTGTTGGAATTAAATCGCTAATAGAAAAATAATAAACCGAAACAAGATAACGGAATTAGTATTAATAATTAAGTTTTTAATTAAATGTGTCGTGCGAACGAAAAATATTATGTAGATGGTTTCAGTTACTCGTCCAAAATCAAATACAAAAAGTTCATTCGAGTAAAATATTTTGCACTGTTCGAGAAAAGTGTAAAACGAGTCAATGCAGTTGAAACATCTTTGATGATGTGAATTCTTTGATATACACACAAAAAAAAAAAAAATATACAGATATAGGTATAACTCAAAAACTAAGTTACTAATGTAACTATTTGCGAGGTAAGTTTGAATGAATTAAATACGGTTTAATATTTGTCCCACATATTATATACCACCTGCGTATCTGATAACCGTCCGCACAAATGAAAAATTATGCCATGACAATAAAGAAAAATTAATTTACTGCTTTATTATATAATAATATTGTGAAGGGAAATAGCAGTGAACATGCAAATATACATTTCAATAGTTTTCTAACGTATCAAGTGAACTAGAGCTGGAATACGCTTTTACACTGGTATATTCGGTAAAATTCGAATACATTTTTGTAGCCCGAAAAAAAGAAATATCAATATAATGATGTGGTCGTATGAACTTCAATGGCGGGCAAGGTGTATAATAAAATATTAATGTATTGAATTTCCGTGAGAACAGTTCAAACGCGAAACTTTTCCAACTTTCGTCCCGGGAAAATGAAAAACATTTAAAGAAAGTAAGTGATAATATTATGATGTAAGGACGAAATCGAAAAATACATTGCGAATAGCCAGAATTTAATATAGTATTAAATCAAACATTTGCGATGGCACAGTGTAATAAAAATTATTGTAAATAAAGTCTAAATAAATACCGTTTGAAGACTGAACAATGACTATAATGTTATTATATTATACGATACGTTATGCTTAGGTATAATAATAATAATAATACCTATGGTTGTAAGAGAATGGTTTTGACGGAATTCTTTAGGTAGCATCTCGTTCTAACAGCCTTAGGCCCATAATATATCCGTTCACAGAGGGTCTGTAGTTCCGGGTCAAGGGATAATATGGCGACATTATTGTTTAGGGCTATTGCGCAAAACAGAAGACGACCGTGACAAGAATAGGTATACGTAGGTGATGATAATAATGTTATTATATAAGTACTAAAAGAATAATAACAATATGTATCAATCTATAATAATATTATCCTAGTAGTTACTAGTTGAAGCTGTACCATGAATAAAAAAAAAATAATAATAATATGTATATTTTATGGGCGAGGGTATTTAATATCGGTGAAAAATGCGGACAAAAAAAAGAAACTCTGTAGATAGGATGTCTATAAAAAGAAAATTCTCGGAAAGCGGAGAGCCGGGGCAGGACTTAGGAGATCGTCTGCGGCAACTACAACAGCAGTGGAGTACTTGACCTACAATAACCATCAGGTGTTACGACGACGACGACTATCCGATCACTTACGATTTTAATAACCGGTTGAGGTCTAGACGTCCAGTATAATGCGTAGGTATACGTCCTATATCCCATAGGCAACTATTATATTAGTACCTATACCACAGAATAGATTAAATCTATTCTGTGCCTGTACCATTATATAATTGTTTAGTTTAACATAAAAATATTGTTATCACGGTAGTGTGAATAACATTATTTTTTATTAACCTATGGTATATAATAATATTATTACGTAACTAGATAATAATGTATTATAATATTATTATATTCACAATTATACTGTACTCGTAGGTATATCATATCATTATCGGTCGAATTATATCCCAAGTAAACGAAAAGTGCACTCGCTGTTGCATAATCAGGAAAAAGATTTTGACGAATTGCACTAAAAAGAACACAACGTCTATAGTAATTATTAACAACAGTATAAATTTAAAAAAAATCTAATTATTTGAGTGACAAAATATTATTATTATTTTAAAAAACGATCCATTACACATTACTTGCACGCTTGTTATTATTATCTTATGTATAAAAATCTAGTGTCACTGTGTTTGTCGTCGCACTCATCCGAAACGGCTAGACAGATTTGAATGAAATTTTTTTTGTATATTTCTTAGCAGGTATGAGATTAGGTCATAAGTATTTTTTACCATTTTAGGTCCAACCCCGGGGAGATGCTCAAATGAGGATTTTGAAATTTACTGTGGAAATTGTTGTTTATAAATGGTTGGTATTGGTTATAAGAGAAATAATAAGTAGAAATTAGTATTTATTATTTGGCTGCCATTGGTTAATTGAGCAGATCAGGCTTGCGTCGAATCAAATTTTCGCACATTGCCTACTTGATATGCTGTCACACATTTTTCTCAATCTGACGTAGTCGGATTGCTTACCAAGGATGCTGAGTTGCACCCAAATGGAGTTGATCAATCACAATTTTTTTAAAAGTTGTAATTTTTTACTGGTAATGAAGTGCGTGCTAGTAATTTATAAATACAGGTAGCTAGCCAGTTTGTATATTTTCCAATAATCATTGAAAATATACCCAAGTGAAATAGATATTGGGTATAATATGCTTCGTATCGTAAAAGCTTTAAAATAAACATTATCGATTCATAGTAGATTCTCCCTCTGATGAATGTCAGTATATATGTTTGAAATTGAAAATTTTTTATTTAAGATAAAAAAATTGACATTTTTAAACATTTTTGACCTCGTAAGTTTTTGTTACAAAAAACATTTTTGACCTCGTAAGTTTTTGTTACAAATATTGTATACATTTTTTTTATAAACATATCTTGAAGATAAAATATTGATAAAATTAATAAACGAAAAATAAAGATTTCTCTTTGATCATTTTAACCTTTATTTTTTTTGTAATTCAAAATATATTAATCTTAAAGTACCGAAACATATTCACCTTTACGTTTATTATTATAATTTATATACTGTGCAATTTTCAAAATATTTATTCAAATTTTAAAGTTTTAAACTATATATACCTTACCTTCACCACAATGCAATTTACACCGTTCTAAGGCAGGTACTTCGGTATTGACTTAAAACTTATATGTTACGTTTGAGATAGGTACTATTATAATATTATATAATTGTTATATTATATAAGATATGCGAAATATTTTGGCAAAAATTAGTTCAATCTGTCATATTAATAATAATAAAAAAAATGTATCACCAGTAGTACTCGTACAATACTAATGTACATTATATAATTCGAAATACTAATGCTGACACACTGTTTCAGCTCATAATCGTTTTTTGAATACAACGATGTACCATTAAGTTAATATTCGACATATCCATTACAGTGACCTACTCAATAACGAGGTACACTCGAAGTCTATTTCTTAGCAGAGCGACTTGCCTTCTTGCGACTTGCGACTTCACTCGTTTTTAACAGGTTGACTGCCACGGCTTTTTTTTCAAGTTATTCAGTCACGCAGTGTGATACTTAATTTATGTTCTCACCTATGTTACTCAAAATTGCTTTTGAGACCCTTTTTGGGATCTCACTAGAATCGATTTTTTCAGCGATACCTCGTTGAGAGTCACAACTCACAATAAATTATCAGTATTTTCTCGTCGAATTTGAAATCTACAGTGTTGCCACCTTCAGTAGGTATCACAAGTTTGCAAGTATCATTATTGGTTTTTTTTTAGGATTTTTTCTGTAAAACTGTTAAATTCAGATTAAGTCAGTCTGTCGAAATGGTCATGGCGTCAGCGAGTAAGCCAGTGAGACCCCAAAAATGAAAAAGGGGCTCATGGCTGTCAACCTGTTAAATTTATATGTTCATATTTTCTTAAAATGATATTGCCAATATACATATACAAGTATTACACATGTGATATATTGTGAAATTATTATACTTAATATTAGTCATAAATATTTAATAAATCGATGAAAAAAATTACCACCAACATTAATCATCAAACACATTGATTGTCAGATATTATTGTAGTAATGACTACGGAAGTATACGGACATATTACCATTCCCTCTCCATAGTGATATCAACAAACTTACCAATAAAATGACTATTATAACATAGGTTTATTAATTATTACTATATCGAATTAGCAATATATGTGGGTTGTGAAATAACAGGAGTATAATAATTATAGCCCATATAAACTTTTGACAGAAGCGGCTCCAGAGACATGGTTAGGGAGGGGGAAGTCATAATTTTCAGAAAATGTCGATGGTTTTTCTTTGGAATTTCGTTTTTAACAGTATAAAATCGTTTAGAAATATATAGCGGGGGAGCTTGAATAAAATTCTTAAACATATTATGTTTGTTTTTATTGCACAATAGTTGGTGATTTTCAGGGCACGAATGCATGCATACTTTAAGGATTTTTAGGACGCATTATGTGTTTAGGTCTAATCGCAATTATAATCACTATATAATATTAGACGCAATCGGAAGTACATGACATGTTTGTGTACCGTCACGAGATGTACGGCCAACATAATAATATATATATAATATTATTATAGAATAACGTGTTCTAGTAATGATATCATAGTCTTATATTATTACTATATACGTAATACACGAGGTACAGCCCACAGTGTTTATCTGGTATTTATTCAATATAGTGTTTGCTATGATTGTCATTATGTACCGTTCACAGGGAAGGGGTTCGGTCCGATCCGATCACTTTCTCCTCCCGGAAAGTTTTTATTTTTCGTTTCTCAGAACTCCGTCGAGCACGCTTTGGGCATGACCGTCCATTATAACAGTGGTAGTCGCTGGAAGTTTAGCGTTCAGTCACCATACGGCATCATATAATTCAAATTTTTATATTATAATATTATTATACCGATAATCACACGCGAGCGTGCCTATAGGTACCTACTACTCCTCAGGACGAGAGGATCGCGACCAAATTACACCACGTGAGTACCAATACATCACTATAAAATGATATTATTTCCATCGAAAACCGTTAAAAATATCACGACAATGACGTACAATAATAATATTATAGAGCGTAATATCTCACCCATAACACGTCGTCGCACTCGCACAGTGGGCTTTTGAAACGTTTTTCGTTTCAACGGTCAAGACCTGGTTTTTTTTTTTATCAAATCTAGATCATTACACTTTTAAGTTTTCTGAGCCCTAGTGTAGAATTTCAAACTGTGGATAATATTTTTCATACAATAGTTATTTTATAGATAGGTCTATATTTTATAAATCTGTCAACTTTACATTTTAACTGATACATTATTATCAACTGTATTATTATATGCCTGGTCAATTATCGTTTATTTCTCACTATATATATTTATTTATTTTTCGATCATATTGTTACCTATAATACCCATGCATAAATATATACAGGGTCATCCAAATGTTGTGTGACAAAAAATATAGGGATCTCTTGAGAACGAACATAATCCCCACCATTTTTATCACACACAATTTGAATGATCCTGTTACCCTGTTTGTTAATATTTATATCCGATTACAGCTCTAGTAGGTTATAGCGATATAAATTTGGTTAAACAAATCTATAAATGCTTATAATTGTAAAAGCCTATTGATTGATATCCGTATTGACTTACACGTAAGTATAACGAAATATTCTCTGGGCGGATAAAAATAAATAAGAATGGAGAAAAAGTTCATTAGGTACTATAAGAAAACAATAATTGATTTTATAGGGCACTTATGGTTTTTCCAGTGGCGGTCAAATGATTTCAACACGCACTAGGTATTTGATCATTAAACATATAATTAATAACTTATATTAGTATATTAGGCACTATAAATATTGAAAAAAGTCATGGAAGATGAGCTATCCCCCTCGTCTCCTCCCCACGTTTGAACACCACTGGTTCATACGTTATGTATGTTTATAGGTTATGGCAGCGATATCACATGTCTTATTATAATTTCATTATATTAGATATACCACAGCGTAACTATATTTAATTATAGGTAGGTTCATCCACAATATCAATCACTAAAAATTAATGAACAATTAGTTAGTAAGTTGAATACAAACATTAATAATAAATACTATTTATTATTTAATAACAAAAGCTGAAATAAGATAAGTACTTTAGATTTGTATCTAGTTGGCACTCTTGGAAATTCCCAAAGGGTTATTGGACCGGGATCGTTCCCGGGAATATAATAAAAATATTAAAACGTATATTATTGGGATTTTTTTCGTTCTAATAATAATAAGTGCTTAAATTAATTTATAGTAAAAATTATTTTTTAAAACTATTTTAATAAAACAGTCAATAAATCAACAGAATAATTCATGCCTATATTAAAAGGTCAGTAAACCAAGTAAACATTAGTCGTTCCAATATTATATAATTTAGGTGTTATATTAATCTTCAACAAGATGTCGTAGAATAGTTGATAGGTAAAAAAAATCTGTACAAAGTATGTATTGGGCCTTGATCCTTGGATAATGTGTATTTAGTTTTTATGACAGGATGTAGCTACAACACTGTGTCACGTTTAACTTAGTATTTTTTACTCACATATAAAAGTTACATTCACGATAAATTTGCTATGCTTTAAGATTGCGTCAGGAAATTGTAACGATCGATAATTGATAAAAAAGTAAAGAAGTTTATATTTTAGAAATCGTATGCGGACCTGATATTGAAGTATAATTAATATAATATGCAAGTATATTACTTTAATGTAACTACCTACCTCAATACTATTGCCTATTTAAGGCATAACGGTATTACCAATCATAATATTGTTATATCGTCATACTTCATTTAAAATAATATACAAACATTTGCAATTCGTTTTAATTGTATTCCTACCATCAAACAAATTAATAGTAAAAAATCCAATTAGTTATTTTAGATTCTGAGAGGAGCTAGGAAGCTAGTGGTTTTACAATGGTGTTTATTTTTTTTTTTATTCTTATATCCTGATTCCTGATACAAATTTTCTACCAGAAGGAGTGCTTCGATTTCAACATATAGTACCTTATCTTTTAGCAAATTGGACCAATGGATAGGATTTTCTCAATAGTTATTTAATGCTACGGGAAAAACCACCGAAAAATTGGATTTAAATTTCTAACGTTTTGTTGTTTACCATAAAAACGAATAAAAAATAATAATATTATCATATTAATTCAACTTACATGATATAATAATTAATGACAATATAAAATATCCAGACTGACAAACCGTCTCCGCTCAGAGTCGTTTTTCATATACAATGATTGAATATCATTAAATTCAAGTTCAATACAATCCATTATACAATGACTCACTTGTAACCTACTGTACAGCAGAATGACATCCACTTACCCGCTTTTGTTTAATTCTATTGTTTGAAGTACAGAGGTCCCTCAGAACTTTCAAATTTGTTTACCCTTAATGCGTTTTCAACATAAATGTTCTTTATATTAGATTAGATTACATAATTGTATTTCATAATATTTCTATCGATGAACTATAATTATAATAATTTTCATTATAATTAGTAATTACATCGTGAAATGATATTACCTAATTTTAGTTTTTAATTGGACCGACGAATGTATACATTTTACAACAATGTGTGTTTTTTATTCTTCTGTACCACCTTTTGGATCAATAGAATTTCAACTTTTTAACTTTGAAGGTGGTTTCTGCAGGTAAAAAATTAGATTAAATTCGTAATTTGGGAGTTCAAAAAGAAAAATCCAAAGTACTTTTCAAAATAACCAGGAAACATATTATTATAGCCATTTGAATGTATCAATTATTAAATATATATAGGTAGAGACGATTTTTTTTTTTAAATACCTATTTGAAGTTCAAATTTTAATAAAATTCGTCAAAATCACAAAAATGTTATTTAATTAAAGTTAAAATTTGTAGTTAAAAATGTATATACTGTTAAACTTTTATAGTAGTTCAGGATTGAATAAGTACCTAATAAGTAGTTTATACTGTAAATAAAAATCTAAAAAAATTTATGTTCAAAATTGGATGAAATTAGATAATTAAACAAAGAATTACGACCATAGTTATTTTTGTGTAATTTAAAAATATAATTCTTGGCGACTTGACTTGTTACGTGTTACCTATAATGTAATATATTACGTATATTGTTAATGATTTGTTATTGAATTCAAATTTAACACATCCATTACAGTGACTTACTCAATGACGAGGTACTCTCGACACATAATGTCCCATAAGTAGTGCAGGTTACCTACTTTCCCCCCTTTTTAATAACTGTTCATTAAAAAAACCGTTATGCTTGAATAATTTTCTAAAGCTTAAAAATATATATGTATTAAAGAATTTTATAAAATACATACTTCAAAGTCTTTTAAATGGTTTTTTAGTAAACAGTATGATTTGAAATTTACTTTTTCATTTGATCTTATTTATCAATAATTAGAAACTATAAAAAAAACAAAGAGGTTAACAAAACCAAATACTTAAATTATTTGTATTCAACTATTTAAATTATACAAATATAAGGGTTTTTAAATGTTTTTTTTTTTTTTTTGTACTTTATTGTATGGTTTGTTTCCCATATTTTTTTAAAATTGAATTAAGTAACCAAAAAAATCAATTATTTTATTTTTAAATCAAAAAGACATTAGTTACAAAACCATAATATTATTAAAATATCATAATGCAAACAAGTAATGTTTGTATAAAATATAAATCGTCAAAGAATAAATATTACTTGCATGTCATCAGTCGTAAACAATGTATTTAGTAACTTGACAAAATAAAATACTATATATAATTTTGATTTTGGTTTTTATTGTAATACATTTCCCTGTAATGAACTTATGATTGTATATTTTTGTTGAAGTATTGTCTTAAAAATTGATAAAAAAAATGTTCCATAGTCATATTTTATGTTATAATAAATTAGTTTTTTCTTATTTACGTTTTGTTTTCGATCTATAGTTTTTAAATTTCAAATATAAATAATCCATACAACAGTACCGATATAGTGAACCGGCCATTAATAATATTTGACGTAGGTATAACGAAAACTAACACTTATTTTTATGAGGGCCTTGTTGATTTGCACTGAGTGTTTTGTGTTTATTTATTCTCCATCGACGGAGTTGGATTAATAGCATTTACATTTTATTTACCTGCCATAATATAATAAAACTACTTTCTAAAAATAACTTATATTGAAATCATTAGTAGTTATCTCTTGTAAAATATTTTTTCTGAGTATTTTGATACATAAAAATCGAATTTAGGACAGGTAATTTATGAGTTATAACTTATCAATTTTTAAAGTTTAGAATCTGATGAATGGAGAAGTGGACCAATATTTTTCGGGGTGAACGCTTAGCACTCCACTCCGCTCATCAAAACTTTGAATACTTATAAATCGTTTAATACTCGATCATTTTAAATTCGGTGTTTATGTATAAACATACTTAGAAAAATATTCCGCCTTAGAAAATGAAATTAAAACTGTAAGTCAGTTTTCAAAAAAGTAAAATACTTAAAAATATTTATATTTTTAAAAAAATTTGTTTTTCACTGGGTAGGTACTAAAAACCATAATGTAATTATTTTTTTTTCAAAAATATATTTTATTATTTTTAAAATAATTAGTGTTTGATGATAAAATAATCACCCGGTATAGTTGCTCAAACTACATTCGATTGATAAAATATTTTACATTAAAGATAAAATATTTCTCGTATAAGTATATTTTATGAAAAGATGACGCTGTCGGTCGACTCCACAACTATATACCACAACCGTACCAAAACCGTACCACGACCATTCTAGATAGGAGTGACGTCGTAACTTTCACAATAAATAATACTCCAATATGATTATTCTATGGATTTGTTTATTTTATCCAAGGCTGGGCATTAACGAGTTAATAAGTTAAAGTTAAGTTAAAAAGTAGTTACTTTAACTAA